GTGTGTGTGTGTGTGTGTGTGTGTGTGTGTGTGTGTGTGTGTGTGTGTGTGTGTGATGAGGGTAGGGGTGCTGTTTCTATGCACAGTGGATAATTGCGCAGGGAGGCATGTGCCCTTTTCAGGGCAAGCTCACCATGCCAGTAGTTCAACCGCCTGCCGAGCCCTTCTCTCTCTCTCCCTCTCTCCCTCTCTCTCCCTCTCTCTCTCTCTCTCTCCCTCCCTCTCTCTCTCTCTCCCTCTCTCTCTCTCTCCTGGTCAGTGACTCAGTGTTTTCAGCCTGTCTCTGTTGGGTTGAACCATCTGAGCTCAGAGATGGGGGTGTCCACATTGTTTTTCTCTCCTTTGATGAAAATGAATGAGATCTTTGGAGAGAGAGAGAGAGACAGACAGACAGACAGACAGACAGCCGGATGGAGACAGACAGACACAGACAGACAGACAGAGAGAGACAGACAGAGAGAGACAGACAGACAGATGGAGACAGACAGACAGACAGATGGAGACAGACAGACAGACAGACAGATGGAGACAGACAGACAGACAGACAGACAGACAGACAGACAGAGACAGACAGACAGACAGACAGACAGACAGACAGACAGACAGACAGAGAGCTGTGATGATTTTCACTCATTAACTGAGAGCTTCAGATCTCAGCAGCTTCAGCTTCAGCCTCACTCTGATTGGACGAGCTTGTGTCCAGATGTGTGACGTACTTCAGATGAAGTGTGTGTTGTTGACGTGTGAGGACATGACACAGTTCCATATAGAGGTGGTTGTTCCTGGTTTTGCTCCTGATGGACGTCTGATGCGTTCTGTAGATGGTCAGAGGTCGATGGCCCCAGTGGCTAAAAAACCAACAAGAAAAAACAAGAATGTCCTGACGTCCTGTTGAGAAAAGTTATTTCTGGCGTGGACAAAACATCCGCCCTCAGTCCTACTGTCGTCTACACGGCAGGAAGTACTACGACCTAACAGTACTACGACCTCAGGAAGTACTACGACCTAACAGTACTACGACCTCAGGAAGTACTACGACCTAACAGTACTACGACCTCAGGAAGTACTACGACCTAACAGTACTACGACCTCAGGAAGAACCTGATCCATGTCTCTGGCCTCGTTTGTTGGGTCTGTTCTAACGAACCCGTGGAAACTGGAGGTGTCTGTGTCAGACTGTTTCCCGCTCTAAGCAGCTGACGGAGAGGTGACTACAGTAAGCTACTGAGCGGCCATGTTGTTTTTAGCAGCGGTGAAATGATTGAGATGCAGCGTGTTGATGTGTGATCTGTACAGATGTTAGTGGGACCAGTCTGAACATCTGGTACTCAGACAGAAGAAGAGGATTTCTCTGAGTCACTTTTCAGTGTCGCCTGGAAACACGTCAGTCGTGAGGAGAGACGCCGCAGTCCGTTTTTGTGCCTCTGATTCCGATACGATCATGTAAACTAATAAATACATATTCAGTAGGTTTATTGGAGGAGGACTCGCACGTTATTAAATCAGTGGATTCTACCTGTCCAGGTGTGAAGAAGCAGATGATGAACCTGTCCTTAAACCTGTGTGACTTGGTTGATGGAGGCTGACGAGGGGAAGTTGGAGTTGTTGTAGGGAAGTAGATACAGTCACACCGCGGTTCAACCGCTTCCCACTTTCTGACTCTCATTCACAACTCTGACCTCATTTCCTGTTCATGGTCCAGTTTGTCTCTGCTGAGGACTGTTATTAAATCAGGCTGCAATGAAGAGCGGCTGATGGAGGAGGGACGCGTCTCAGCAGCAGCAGCAGCAGCAGCAGCAGATAGGTGCGTTACATTCAATATTATCCTCCTCACAGTAAATGAAAGTGTATTGATCCCTGAGGGGACGCCGCTCGATGCAGCAGCAAACTGAGAAACACTCAGTTATAAATAGACTGCAGTCTGTGAGGCTGTTAAATACAACCACATCCTCTGCTGCCACATGTTTACACAGAATACATTCATAAATAATAAGACACAGATTCAGTTGATGAGACAGGAGCTGAGCTGCGGTGTTTTACATGTTGGGATGAGATGATTTCATTGAGGACGGGTTGAGCTGGTTGTTTATATGTGAAGGCTGCGAAGGTGGAACAACATCTGCTGTCTGTTTTTATTCATTAACATTAATAATATGATAATACTGATGATAACACGTCATAAAATCCTCCGATATTAAAGACAATAGTTAGAAACAGGTAGAAAAACCAGTTCAGTGTGAAACAAGAAGAAAAAAACGTCTTTAAAGATAAAAACAAAGAAGAAATGAACATTCAAGTGAAATCAGGAAAGTCTCTGAGGTAAAACTACATCTGAAGAAAAGACCAGGTCAGTGAGTCCGTCCACCTGGTCCCTCCTGACCCTCAGTCCCCGTCAGGTTTCAGCCGGGTGTCAGGAGCAGAGACAGCAGCAGTACCTGAGGATCAGATCCATCTTCAGTCAGTGTGTGTTCACTGTTTCTGCTGAAAACACATCAACAGAAACATCGGGGTGTGTTTTTTCCCATCATTCAGTCTGTCGTGATGTCACAGGAGTTTCACCTGAGCCTCATTGTTTCAATCAGACGTTGAATAATGTTTTATGAATATTTCATTTTGAGGAATCTGCACCATGAACAGTCGCGCTGCCTTCACTTCCTGTTTGCTCTGTAACCATGGAAACAAACAGTCACTGAGTTACTGCTGAAGCTGAGGAAAAAATCTAAATTTGACATTTCTGATGTAAGAACTGAAGTTATGATGGGCCACACACACACAAACACACACTTTGTCTCACTTGTGTCTTGCTTCGTGTTCTGACCTCTGACCTCTGTTGGTTTCTGGTCTGGTTCTTGGTCTCAGAGCCGACCTGGACTTTGATTTGTGTCAGTGATGAAAATATATTCAGCGATACGGAAAGACAGATTCTGAGATCAGCTTGTCGTTTAGTGTTGTTGTTTCTATCCACCTGTTATATTCACCTTTTCACAGATTGATTTCTGCACAGACCCGCCAGGTACAGGCCCCGGGCCCCGGGCCCCTGGACCAGAACCTCAGTATGAGCTGGAGAGACACAGAACAACCACAAAGAGAGACAGAACATATTGATTATTCTCCAATCTCTGTAGCTAACAGTAAAACTCATGTACAAACATGTCAGATGTGTTTCCTGTTTCCTTATTGAACCGCTGCAGACGAGTGGCTGCTGTAGTTGAAGGAGGAACTGTGAGAACAGGAACCGAACATCAGAACAGAAAAAGGATCTGAGAGTTCTACCCTGACCTCCCCCGCCATGTTTCTGTGTATTGTCAGGGAGCGTCCGGTGAACCGCCCCCCCGAGCTGCTGTACCCGCAGGCCGACGTGGCAGAGCGACTGGCACTCGGCGGCAGCGATGATGCATTGGCCAACGGCACGAAGGCTGACCTGCAGGCCGCCAAACGTCTCGCCAAACGCCTCTACAACCTGGACGGCTTTAGGAAGTCTGATGTCGCCCGACACCTCGGCAAGAAGTCAGTGTGTCTCTGTGTTCACATGTCCCACTAACGATGAGTCCTCTGTCTTCACATGTCCCACTAACGATGAGTCCTCTGTCTTCACATGTCCCACTAACGATGAGTCCTCTGTCTTCACATGTCCCACTAACGATGAGTCCTCTGTGTTCATCAACACTTCCTGTCTCTGTCTCCGCAGTAATGAGTTCAGCCAGATGGTGGCGGAAGAATATCTCAGTAACTTTAACTTCACGGGTCTGACCATCGACCAGGCGCTCAGGTCAGTCTACGGAATAAATAAAGTAGAAGAAGAAATGTTCTGTGGCTAGTTACTGTTGATAACCAGGTGAATAACGAGCTCGTCCAGGTCACTAACGAGGTGAATTAATTAAACTGTGTTCAGGACGTTTCTGAGACAGTTTGCTCTGATGGGAGAAACTCAGGAGAGAGAAAGAGTCCTCGCTCACTTCTCCAGGAGATACAGACAGAGCAACCCCGAGAGTCTGGACACTGAAGGTACCTGTCTGTCTACCTGTCTGTCTGTCTGTCTGTCTGTCTGTGTGTCCCCCGTCTTTCTGTTTACCTGTCTGTCCCCTGTCTGTCTACCTGTCTGTCTGTCTGTCTGTGTGTCCCCCGTCTTTCTGTCTACCTGTCTGTCTACCTGTCTGTCTGTCTGTCTGTCTGTCTGCTACCTGTGTGTCCCTGGTCTGGTCTGTCTACCTGTCTGTCCCCTGTCTGTCTGTCTGTCTGTCTGTCTGCCTGTCTACCTGTGTGTCCCCTGTCTTTCTGTTTACCTGTCTGCCCCCTGTCTGTCTGCCTGTCTGTCTACCTGTACATTTATCTGTCTACCTGTCTGTCTGTCTACCTGTCTGTCTGTCTGTCTACCTGTGTGTCCCCTGTCTTTCTGTCTACCTGTCAGTCTACCTGCACATTTATCTGTCTACCTGTCTGTCTGTCTACCTGTCTGTTTACCTGTCTGTCTACCTGTCTTTTTGCCTGTCTGTCTGTCTACCTGTCTTACTTCCTTTCTGTCTGTCTTCTTGTCTGTCTACCTGTCTTACTTCCTGTCTGTCTGTCCACCTATCTCATTACCTGTTTGTCTGTCTACCCGTCTGTCTACCTGTCTACTTGTCTGTCTTTCTGTCTGTCTACTTGTCTGTCTACCTCTCTGTCTACCTGTCTGTCTGTTTACCTGTCTGTCTACCTGTCTGTCTACCAGTCTGTTTACCTGTCTGTCTGTCTACCAGTCTGTTTACCTGTCTACCTGTCTGTCTCTCCCCTGTCGATCTCTCACCTGTTTGTCTCTCACCTGTCTGTCTCTCAACTGTGTCTCACCTGTCTGTCTCACCTGTCTATCTCTCACCTGTCTTTCTCCTGTCTCTCACCTGTCTCTCTCCTGTCTCTCACCTGTCTGTCTCACCTGTCTCCCTCTCAGACAGCGTCCACACTCTCACCTGTCTGTCTCTCACCTGTTTGTCTCTCACCTGTCTGTCTCACCTGTCTTTCATCTGCCTGTGTCACCTGTCTGTCTCTCACCTGCCTGTGTCTCACCTGTCTCTCACCTGTCTGTCTCACCTGTCTTTCATCTGCCTGTGTCACCTGTCTGTCTCTCCCCTGCCTGTGTCTCACCTGTCTCTCACCTGTCTGTCTCCCCTGTCTCCCTCTCAGACAGCGTCCACCCTCTCACCTGTCTGTCTCTCACCTGTTTGTCTCTCCCCTGTCTGTCTCCCCTGTCTTTCATCTGCCTGTGTCACCTGTCTGTCTCTCCCCTGCCTGTGTCTCACCTGTCTCTCACCTGTCTGTCTCCCCTGTGTCCCTCTCAGACAGCGTCCACACTCTGACCTGTGCTGTCATGCTGCTGAACACAGACCTTCATGGGAACGTGAGTCTTTATATTTTTGAATCATCTTTTTAATTGATACAGAGTCAGCTGAGGAGGGGGAGGGGCTTCACGTTAAAAGGAACTCCTTATTTGGTCGAGGTTGTCACGTATGAACCGAGAGGACGAGTCTCTTTGGTCAAACTGGTTCTGATCCACGTAGATCCAGATCCAACCTCAGGGATCATTAGTTTATGTGCACTGGATTATTTTAAAGATCTCACAGGCTGTGACCAACCAGCCCCTCCCCCTCTGTCAGCTGTACCTGCCAGGTGTTAAAGCCCTTTATCTCCATTCTGTTCTTCAGCTTTTATTTTGACACAGTTGTCAACAGCCACTGTTGATAAATGTGTCATACTACTTTTATTTTGAAAAACTTAACTTTAGTGTGTTAGCATGCTAAAAACTACATCATGCTAAACGTTATAGACTGTTGAATTACATAGAAAATTAAATAAAATATATAAATATAATAAAATAATATAGATAATATGAAATATAGAAATCATGGGAATAAGTTTGAACACGTTTTGTTCTGAAGTCTCCACTGTGGTTCAGACGTTCATGTTCTCCTCAGGATGAACCACAGACTCTGTTTACTGCTAAATCAGCTAATGTTAGCGTGCTAACACTCTGAGCTAAGATGGTGGACACATTAAACCGCCTAACACTGGACTGTGTTTTATTTATCTGTTTGATTCTAATTAATAATTAAATAAGTAAACGTGTGTGTGTGTGTGTGTGTGTGTGTGTGTGTGTGTGTGTGTGTGTGTGTGTGTGTGTGTGTGTGTGTAGAACGTTGGGAAGAGGATGTCCTGCAGTCAGTTCATCTCCAACCTGGAAGGTCTCAACGATGGAAAAGACTTCCCCAAAGATCTGCTGAAGGTACATGTACACACACACACACACACACACACACACACACACACACACACACACACACACACACACACACACACACACACACACAGGGATCCTTGGCTTGTGATTTTCAGACCAGGAAGAGAAAAGGGGAGATGCATTAATTTCACTTCTCATGACCTCACACTGAACAAGTGTGTGTGTGTGTGTGTGTGTGTGTGTGTGTGTGTGTGTGTGTGTGTGTGTGTGTGTGTGTGTGTGTGTGTCTCAGCCTCTCGTTCTCCCACTCTTTTGCTTCCATCTCAGTTTTTCCATCTCAGCCTCCGAGCGATCAACATGAATCTGCGTCACCTCTTCACCTCGATCATCATCATCCCTCGCTCTGTTAATATGTGTGTGTGTGTGTGTGTGTGTGTGTGTGTGTGTGTGTGTGTGTGTGTGTGTTTGTGTGTGAGAGATGGTGGACCAGTGAGTGTGTGGGCAGCAGCTCTGACTCTGACTGAGAGTGAATACAGAATATTTATAACTGGAAATATGAATTATTATCCTCGGAGAAGAGAGTGAAGTGTTCACAGTGTCAGTGTTTCATTCCAAAAAATACAAATTCTTCTTCTACTGCTTTCCAGGCGACACTAATAAGTGATGAACCCCGCCGGGACGCACGTGTTCAGTGCTTTTAACTCGAAAAGTCAAAAAGCGTTTCACCCATGCTCATCACTTTTTAGTGTCCCCTGGAAACACTTCCTGTTGTGTTGTGTTTGCAGCTCACGTGTAATGACATACAACACAAATGACACAAAAATGACAAATTACACCATGTGCTGGTCACTGCACATGCTCAGTAGTGTTCCTGCTGCCCTCCCTCACTGTGATGACACACACATGAAAACATCTCTCTAGGCTAAAGGTGTAGAAACCACACACAGTGCTAACTAAGCTTCAGTGCAGGTGGAGGCGTCCTGTCACACTTTCAATACGTCTCTTTTAGAAAGCAGCTCTTTAGTCAGTTTTAGTTGCAGTACAGACAGTGACCACCAGGACGGACTGTGGCAGTAAGGCTCAGAGGAGGCATCCGTCACATCCTCAGAAAATAGAAGAAAACGATAGAAAACAGATCTTTGACATCAGCTCCTGAGCTCATGGAGTTACATCACTGGCTCCTCCCCTTCCTGGTCACCTGCATAAAATAGTTAATATTATATTTAAGTGAATCTAAAATATGAAATACTGAAATATCATTAAATATTACATATAAAAATGTTGAATATGTAAAATATAAAAATATTAAACAACTCAGGCACATACATTAAAAATGAAATATTAAAGTTTGTAAAATCTATGAAAATACAGAATAAACATGTAACATCTACAATGTAAAATAATAATATGAAATATGAGTAAATACTAAAATACTTAGTATTGGTACATTTTAAGAAATGAATTAGGTGAAATAAGAAATATTAACATTTATTACAAACATGTTTTTATTCTCAGTAGCGGAGCGTCCTGTGTCTCTGAGAAACAGTGAAACTAAAACTGTGAAATAATTCATATACATATGAATTATTGATTACTGATTAACGGGTGTATTAATGTGATGAGAAGCTGCGACAGTCGGAGTCGATGAGTCTCTGTTTTTAATATTTTCAGCTGATTTTCTCTTTTCTCTGCTGAACGTCTCTCGGTGCATTTACATTCAGCTCTCTGAATCCTCCATGATTGACAGCTCCAAGGAGAGCAGGGGGGCGGGCTGAGGCTCCCATCCCTGCGCTCTGATTGGTGGCTGCAGCTGAGAGAAAATGCGCATTGAGAGAGCGAGGGACTGAAGAGAGATAGAGAGAGGGGAGAGAGGAAGGGAGAGCGAGCAACAGTCCTCAACAGTTCAGAGTCTCAGCGGAGAGACGAGGAGGAGGAGGAATAAAAGAAGAGAAGAAGAAAAAGAGGAGGAGGAGTGAGCTCACCTGACGGAGGGATTCTCCTGCAGGAGGAATACGACAACAAGCGAAGGAGGAGAAGAAGAAGAGTGGGAGTGAAGTTGGAGGACGAAGACATCAACATCCGAGGAGGAGGAGGAAGGAGGGATTCTCTCTCTCTCTCTCTCTCTCTCTTTTTGTTCCTGTGCAACAGGAGAAACATCTCCACTTCCATACCTCCCTCCATCCATCCATCAGCAGTCAAGGCTGGAGGAAGCTGACGTCAGTTTTGGGGTGCTCTCTCTCTCTGTCTACATGTGTGGGTGTGCTCGCTCGCCCCAGCCTCCCTGTTTTTCTTTTCTCGTTCTTTTCTGGGTTTTTTTCGTCCTCTTGCTTGTTTGGGACGTGAGATCGAGCTGCTGCTGCTGCTGAAGCCGTTCCTCCGTCACAGCTTTATTTGCAGTCTAGGGATTCTCCTCCATCACCGCCGCCGCTGCACCAGGACGTTCAACAACAAACCGACTCAAAGATCCAACTCAAAGACAAACAAAGGAGAAGAAGAAGAAGAAGATCAGTTTGTGGTTTGGATTTTTTCCACTGACTGTTTGTGTAATTTTTCTGCAGGAGTGTGAGCTGATGAAATACGCATCACTGCCTCCAAATCGTTGATGGATTAGACTGAAACACACACACACACACACACACACACACACACACACACACACACACACACAGTGAGACGGTTTGTGTTAATGAGACTCTGACTGGTTTAATGAGACGTGAACAGGAAGTGGACGGGCTGACAGCTGACTCCACTTTAACAACGAAATAAAAATGTTAATAATTAATTCTTTTAAATAATTAACTGTAATTTAAAGTCATAAAACTAATTTATTTACCCAGAAAGAGACATCGGGCTCATTCACTGCTGTTGATCAGTAATTGAATCATTTTTCTTGATGATAAAAACTATTAATTTCCTGATTTTCTTTGTTCTTTACAAACTTTTTTTCTTAGTTTATAAATTGATTAATTAATGAATAAAAGGAAAGGAAGTATTATTTTTTTTGCTGTAATTTTAATTTTATTTTCCTCCTAAACCACAGAATTATGTGTATAAAGGTACAAATAAAACATTTCTACACATAAAAATTGTCCTTTGACAAACCCTAAATAAAATCTTGCAGCACATTAAGTGGATGTAAATGTATAGAAACCTAAATATGATTTTCTTCCAACATTAAAGACATAATTTACTGTAATATAAAGTCTTTTTCCCAAAAAATATTTCCCCTATTTTTCCAAAACTAGTTTTTGTGACAGATTTTGACTTTGTTCTTTAACCTCCGTCGGCCGATGGAAGTTCTTCTTATTTTTGCAGCGATTAATTGATTAAGATAATAAAAGCCCTAATTGTAACTATATTTTCCTCCTTAACTGCAGAATTAAATGTACGAAGTTGTAAATAAAGTCCATCTCAAAGCCGCTTTAAACAGAATCACAGAATGTAAAGACGTCTAATTATGATGAAACAGCTTTGATCGGTAATAATTGATCGATCTTTGTAACTAATTCCTCTGTTTGATTGATTTAAATCTTTGAAACCTTCGAGTTATCAGTTGATGAGTCAGGAGTCTTCTGGTCAGATGATCCGTCTCGCAGCAGATTGAGTCTCGGTCTCGGCCCACTCGCTCCATCAGCTCTGACATGTTTGTTGGCAGCGTCTCTTTGTTTTTGTGGTTTTGCCTCCGAACACCTGAGCGAGCCGCCGGCTGTCGGCCAGCTGGATTATGAGCTGGATGAAACGCTGCTGTGTTTTTATGCATAATGAATAGAGCTGGATCCATAATGCAGCAGGCTGAGCTCCGCTGAGGACACAATCAATCCAGACTCAGTTAGTCTGCTCAGAACCAGCCGCCGTCACTCATCAGGCTCCTGCTTCTATTTCCAGCCTCCTCGTCTGATGAGATTCATCATCTAAATTACTGAAAACATCTCTTTTCTGGAAACTGGATCAAAGTCTAAAATCCACCTTGTCAAAGTGGAACAGGATCTCTTTCTGTTTGTGTTAATGTTGGTGTAGAGGAACTCTGGACTGAATGAGAAACGCTAAACTGGTCCAAGAGGAGAATATCTGTTCAATCCTTGGAGCTTTTCATGAATATCATCTAGAGGATCATCTTCTAACGTCCTGTTGACCGTAAAGACTAGAAAAGTTCAGTCAGACTTTTCTAAACCGACTTAAACCTGACTCAAATCCCGCTCCTCTGGACTTGTCACGATGATCGGCGTCAACAGCATCCACTCGACTGGCCGCATGCGGTCTCGGTCGCTCTGCTCCGTCCGGAGCGGGCGCGACTCGAGGGACACTGACCCGTTCAGGTATCCCAGAACCCCCCGCTCCCGCTCCCTCAAACCACTGGCCTTCCCTGACCTGCTGGGAAAGACCCAGGACGGACAGCAGCACCTGCACAGCCGCAAGAAGAAGGTAGAGCCCAGCAGAACCTGGTTAAATCTAAAACCTGGCAGAACAGTGAAGTGATACTGTTTATTTTTATTTACATTTTACTTAAGGGCCACAGAGGGAGGCCAGGACACCTCATAACGTGATATAAACACAAAAATAATACACATGCAGAGTCATACATACAGTGGTGTCCTACTAACAGCTGCATTTCATTCTCCTCGTACATGCTCCTTTACGCAGATGACTCTCAGCTTTACCTCCATTAGAACCTGGTGATAATAACAGCTCAGGTCTCTTCTTGACAGACTCCATGGTAACAATTACTGTCTTCAGCTAAATGATGCAAGACTGAAGGATCTTGTTTGGTCCTTCTGTGACATGCTCTGAACCCTTACTCACATTTCTCCATTTTATTGATATTTTCTAAGAAGGACAAGAGCTGAGAATAGACCAGTTTTATTGACTTTGGATAAAAATGGAAACTTAGAAAAAGGCTGAAAATGATTTGAAACTGTTGCATCAAGGCTTTTTGCTAATGGGATGAACCACTAGATAAACTAGTGTTGTAGTAGTCGGCTTAGTGTGTGAGACTGTCTTTTATATGAACAAGCAACACAAGCTCAAACTTACTGAGGCTGTATCCTCGTCAAGGGGGACGGGAGCTGTGTTCTCCAGGTGTCTGTCAAAAACAGGAAGTCTGGTTGGGTGGATGAGATATTTCATTTAGAAAGATGAAAGATTTGTTTGACACGTTTAGAGGAGCCATACTACAACAGTCATGGACGGTAAAACCTGAGACTTGCAGCTAAGGGGGGTCAATGACAGGTGGGACCAGTAGTGGGAGTTCTCATGGGAGGCAGGACTCTGAGGTGACACCATAGAAGAAGAGCTAGGTACTTTGTGTGTGTGTGTGTGTGTGTGTGTGTGTGTGTGTGTGTGTGTGTGTGAACAGGATTGCACAGTGTGCCGTAAATTAGCCGCTAGCATGTGGCTACCCAATAAAATTATACTGTCTGTTGTGAAGAATGAAAAGTTTCTCCAAAACAAATTAAGTTCAAAACTGAATTCATCATTTCTACATTGATTGTAACATGTTTCATTATTGTAATTAGTCATTGAACCAAATCAAATCAGAAACGGACTGTTTTCCGTCACTAGTTGTTTCCTGTGGTTTCTGATTTGCTGTTTTGTCGATCGTTGTTAAGTTACCTTCAAATCATCCTTCACATATTATTCTGTACGAACCAACCAGTAAAGAGAGGAATTATTCCCTTTGAGCTGCTGGAAGAATCTCAGATTTAACTCATTGCATGTCTCATTTCAGTGTCTCATGATTTTCTGCCCCGTTATCACATCACATCAATTCATGGGTTCCTCATTATTAAAAAGTTTTATTTACAGTGGATTAACAATGATTAAAAAACTGCAAAGTAGAGGTGGTTTATTTACAGTGGATTCCACTGACAATGATCTCTCTTATCCTCACACATGATCTGTGTTTTTTTTAATTTTGTATTAAGAGATGAACTGAACACTTGCTGTTGTTTCACATAAAAAAACATAGACTGGTGGAGTTATGCATTTGAGCTGCTCAAAGGCTTTTAATGTGAAAGAGCTCTGAGTATGATTGCTGCTTAGCAGAGATAGAAAAAACATCAAAGTAGATCTTATTAATAATCTTTTGTGAGGATTATTAATAATTATTTTATTATTAATATTTAATAATTTTTGTGAGTGAAACAATAATCTTCACCTTTTTCACAATAAATCCTCCAAAGAAAGAATCAAATAAAACACAAATTCTAATCGATTCTACTTTGATGTTTTTTCTGTTGAAATAAACTGAACACTTTTTCACAATAAAAGCTTATGCAAAGGGATGATTATGTTGGATCTACTTTAACGTCTCATTTCAGCAACTTAATATTTCAAGAATTTCAGATACTGAACTTCTCAAACCTTCATTTAATAATGGAACAACAAGGAAAGGATCGAATAGAACATAAATCTGTGAAAATAAAAACTTTCTCCTGCTCTGCCCAAAAACTTAAAGTATTCAGCAAAAAGAAAAAACACACAATCCTCCCCAAACTGACTGACTGTTTCACGGTATTAAAATTCATCTGTGACTTCACATCAGAGGAGCAATGTTTCATATCTGCAGATTAAAGTTGAAACTTGTCTCTGCAAGTCAAACAGGAAAGCCAAGGGTTGTAAACACACACTCACACTCACACACACACACACTCACACTCACACACACACACACACACACACACTCACACTCACACTCACTCTCACACACACTCACACAGTATATCTGACCTGGTGTTTTTGTGTCTGCAGACTCTCTACAGCTCCATCAAGAACGAGAAGCTTCAGTGGACCATGTGAGTTTAACACAAACATCTCCAGTGTTTCAGCTTCTGTCTGCTGTGTGTGTGTGTGTGTGTGTGTGTGTGTGTGTTGTGTGTGTGTGTGTGTGTGTCTCCCTCCTGCTGCTACTGCCCTGACTCCCATATTTAAGCCTCTGTTGCCATGGTAACCGTTCCCTGCTTCTTTCCTCTATGTAATTATAGGTCAGCATCCAAACGCCCATGCTTGACTGTGGACTCATACACACACACACACACACACACACACACACACACACACACACACACACACACACACACACACACACACACACACACGCCTTGTATGCATGTAGCATCTGTCCTCCCTTGTGTTCAGCCTCTTTAACCCTTCAGTTGTTTCTCTGTTGGTGAAGTCAGTGATGATGATGATGATGATAATGATGATGATGAAGTGAAAACTCTTCATCCTCTCACTCCGTCTGTCTGTCTGAAGTGATGAGGAGGAGTTGAGGAAGTCGATGTCGGAGCTGGCTGACGTCCGAACAGACTCCGCCTCCCACACCATGAAGCGCCTGGGCAGCGGAGGAAACCCGCTGGTGGGTGTCGCCCATCAGGCTGACGGCGAGCTCTACAAGAACGGATTCCTGGTCCGGAAAGTCCACGCCGACCCTGACGGAAAGAGAAGTGCGTCACAGCAACTTCTGCTCTTCTTCTTCTTCTTCTCTCTATTTATTCAGTGTTTGTTTTTGTTTTCCACATCAGTCGTTTCTTTTCCTGCAAGTCTTTATTTGTTATGATCTATAATATCCCATGATGCCTTGTTTCTCACAGCGCCGCGGGGTAAGAGGGGCTGGAAGTCTTTCTACGCCATGCTGAAGGGTTTGGTGCTCTACCTGCAGAAGGTAAACATCTGAACTACATGTCCCAGCAGCCCTCTTGTTTCATACACCGTGTCGTGTCTGTAGCTCCTTTCACACACGGATCCCTCCACATTTATTATATTATATATATATTATATATTCTACCTCTTATACTGAGGGAACAGTCACATATTGATCGATCAGTTGATCAGGTGAATCTGTCAGTGGTAGAATGTTGTAAACAGCAGCAGTTTACTGGATGTTAAAGTGGATATTAGAAGTGATTGTCACTTTAAACTCGTTATAACTTGTTATGAAAAGTTTCCTGAACGTGGTTTGATGACGAGATGAAACGAACTCAGTGAAATCGTCTCATTTTAACACGAAAGTCGAGACATGAAGATTTTACAAACAAAAACAAACAGTGAGAACTGATTGAACCCGACCAATCACAGAGGCTGTTGAGAGGATGATGACGTGATGTCACCACCTCACCTGAACCAGGTGAATTAAAACGAGTCCTGGCTCTGCAGCTGTCAACAACTCATTAGTGAAGCTACTTACAGCAGCTTTAAACCTGATTGGATGCTGACAACACGCTGCTCTGTGATTGGCTGACAGGACGAGTACCGTGCCGAGCGAGAGCTGACGGAGGAGGACGTGAAGAACGCCGTGTCCATCCATCACTCTCTCGCCATGAGAGCAGCTGACTACAGCAAGAGACCCAACGTCTTCTACCTGAGGACGGCCGACTGGAGGGTCTTCCTGTTCCAGGCTCCGTAAGAACACGCTGACCTCTGACCCCTGACCCCTGACCCCTCACATCAGCTCTGTTTGCTTATTTTCAGTCTGTTCTTCATCAGTTACAGACAAGTTCAGTTTGTCAAAGAGAAATGTGAATTTATTTTATTTACCACAAAAACTGATAATAAACTGATAATAAACAGTGAATAATTCACATGTTCATCAGAGTCTGACCCTGGATCAGATTCTGATTCACAGAGAGAAACCTCAGAATTCGTTGCAGCTTTAAACGCACCACATGTGAACTAAAGCCGACCTTCTCTTCTCCTTTAAGAGACCGAAACAGTTTCTTTATTAAAGACCAATCAGGTCAGGTGAGTGTTACCTGTGTGTTACCTGTGTGTTACCTGTCTCCTGCAGGAACGCTGAGCAGATGCAGTCCTGGATCACGCGCATCAACGTGGTGGCGGCCATGTTTTCAGCTCCTCCATTCCCGGCGGCGATTGGCTCTCAGAAGAGATTCAGTCGTCCTCTGCTGCCGGGGTCCAACACCAAACTGTCCCAGGTACGGACTCCGCCTCCACAGACACCTGAGTCACCTGGACCAGGTGAACTCCTCTCTCACCCACAATCCTTTGCTGTGTCGTCCATATCTGCAGGAAGAGCAAGTCAAGTCCCACGAGAACCGGTTCAGGGCGGTTTCCTCCGAGCTGGCCGACCTCACGGCCTCCACCCCAGACCGAAAGGTCAAAGGTCGTGAGTTGGAGGAGCAGAAACTCCGACAGGAGTACCTGGAGTTCGAGGTGAGGGCGTTCACAAACATCACATGACAGAGTTACAGGTGAACACACACCTGGTGAATGCAGCTTTGTTTTCTGTTGTCGGAGTAAAAGGAAGAAGAAGAAGAAAAACTTTCTTCTTCTTCACTTTGAGACAGAAAAGGAACTTTCACAGTTTCCAGACTGATGAAGAAGAAACAGGAAAAAGCTTCAGTGACTCAAAAGAAAAAAGTTTGATTTGAATTTGAATGAATCAATAAATAAAAAGATGAACAGGTGAGACAGAGTGACGCTCCACAGGTGTCCCTGTCGTTTGTCTTCAAAGAATTTACCATCACGTCTTTATGTCTTTGTTTATGGTGAAACTGTTTGATGTTCCTGCTTCTGTCTCTGTCTGTCTCTGTCTCTCTCTCTCTGTCTGTCTCTGTCTCTGTCTGTCTCTGTCTGTCTCTGTCTGTCTGTCTGTCTGTCTCTGTCTGTCTCTGTCTGTCTGTCTGTCTCTGTCTGTTTCTGTCTGTCTGTCTGTCTGTCTGTCTGTCTCTGTCTGTCTCTGTCTGTCTCTGTCTGTCTGTCTGTCTGTCTCTGTCTGTCTGTCTCTGTCTGTCTGTCTGTCTCTGTCTGTCTGTCTGTCTGTCTCTGTCTGTCTGTCTCTGTCTGTCTGTCTGTCTGTCTCTGTCTGTCTGTCTGTCTCTGTCTGTTCAGATTGACACCTCTCTCATGTACAGGCTAGCTGTTTCCCTCTGTTTCCAGTCTTTATGCTAAGCTAAGCTAACTGGCTGTAGCTTCATATTAACTGTACAGATATGTGTAGAGGACAGGAAGCTGCAGCTGTCAGCCTCAGTGATGTCACAGTTTAAAGGCCACACCTCTGCTGTGACATCACATCCTGATGTTTGCATCACTAACCGTCTCCCACCTCTGTCCTCTACAGAAAACCCGTTACGGTACGTACGCCATGCTGCTCAGAGCCAAGATGGCGAACGGGGACGAGGACCTGACGGCCTTCGAGTCTCGGCTGTTTGACGACGGCGGCCTGCAGAGGGCGCACTCCAGCCCCACACTGCCTCAGGACGTCGCCAACAAGGAGAAAACCCGCGGGACAAAGACGTCCAAGAGCTTAAAAGTCACGTCGTCTTCATCGTCCTCGACCACCAAGAGTGGCAGCAGCAGGGAGGGAAACAGGAAGAAGAACGGGAGCAACCAGAAGGCGGAGCCTCAGAAACAAAACAGCAAACAGGAAGAGGCGCCATAAGATTTATACTGAGTGTAGCTGGAGACGGACATGAGGCATCATGGGTAACAGGCTGACATCCTCCTTTAAACCTTTTCTGTTAAACCTCAGACAGATTCTGATTGGCTGAGGGAGCTGAGCTGAGACGTTCAAGGTCGGCGGGAGAAAAGACGCTCGTCACGACGGACGACGACAAACTGTCAAGTTTCACCAGGAGTGGAAACATTCAGAAACACTGAGTGAACCTGAACACATCACTCAACTGTCACTTAACTCCGCCTCCAAACATCAACACTCACAACAGCTGGAGAGTTTCACAATAAAAGCTTTATTTCCTGGTCGAGCTTTCATTTCAGGGACGTTGTATTAAAATGATACAGACGTTAAATATTAGTAATTATCCAGTCTCCAGCTGCGTTTGACTCCAGGACCCCCCACGACCAGGACCAGGACCAGGACCAGGACCAGAACCAGGACCAGGACCAGGACCAGGACCAGGACCAGGTCCAGGTCCAGGTCCAGGTCCAGGTCCAGGACCCTCCTGGATCAGGTTGTTTATAGGTACTTTTATTTTTCCTCTCTCACAGCGACAAACACTAACCTCCTGCATCGCCATCACTCAGCTTCTCCTAGCAACCAACAGGGGAGCAGGTTGCCATGCCGACCACATGTGACAGACAGAGTGCGTGGGACTGTTGCCACAGCGACCAAGCAAAGGGGGGGTGAGAGGGATGGGATGGTGGGGTGAGACCCTGCAGTCAGGACTCCCCCCGGCCAAACAACAAGCAGACAGATGATACCTCCTCCTGAGTGTGTGTGTGTGTGTGTGTGTGTGTGTGTGTGTGTGCGTGCGTGTGTGTGTGCGCGCGCGCGTGTATGCGCACGTGTGTGTGTGCGTGCGTGCGTGTGCGCGTGTGTCTGTGTGCGCGTGTCTGTGTGTGTGCGCGTGTGTCTGTGTGTGCGCGTGTGTCTGTATGTGTGCGCGTGTCTGTGCGCGTGTGTGTGTGTGCGCAAGTGTCTGTGTGTGTGTGTGCGCGTGTGTGCGCAAGTGTCTGTGTGCGTGTGTGTGTGCCCGCGTGTCTGTGTGTGTGCGCGTGTGTGTGCGCATGTGTCTGTGTGCGCGCGTGTGTGTCTGTGTATGCGTGTGTGTGTGCGCGTGTGTGTGCGCATGTGTCTGTGTGTGCGCGTGTGTCTGTGTGCGCGCGTGTGTGTGTGTGTGTGTGTGTGTGTGTGGAGGCTCATCAGGGACAAAAACTACAACAACAAATCAACTAATTCAAACTTGAATCATCTGCAGTTCATTCGTTCTGTTTATGGAACAAACAACAAATCAGAAGGAAAAACAAACAAACAAACAAACAAAAGGAAATAAAGGATAAAAGATGCAATAAAAAAATAAATAAACATTAATATTAAAAACATCAGCAAAAGTGGAAAAAGAAAAAACTCTTTTTAAGAGTAATTTTCTAATAAATAATTATCAGTGGTTTCTTATTTATTTTTTATTGATCAGCTGATTGATCAGTGGATGAATCTGAACTGGCAGACTGATCAGTTTGAATCCGTGGAGTTTTCACTCAGTAGTTTTGTCTTTAATGAACTTCCATCTTTTCTCTCGATGCTGGAAACTGAATTATGTTTGAATCCGTCCACGTTGTCTCCACTGTCCTGATCCATGAGACCAGAAGGAGACGTGTCGGTGTGTATTAACTGGTCAGAGGACAGGTAACAGGTGACATCACCTGTGACATGACAGAGCTGGAGACGCGAGTTTGTTGAAAGGATTCTTTCTCTTGTCGTTGATCTTCAGTGAAACATTCACACTCGTCTCCTCTGTTGCCTCATTAAAGAAAATCTTCAACGTGCAGTTCCCTCCTGCTGCCACCTGGTGTCTCCACAGTGTCTCCACACTGAATCACTGAGGCTGTTTCTCTGGGACATGTTCAGGTGAAAACACTGATTTACAACAAGAAGAAAAACAACATCACCACAAATGAATCAGAAACAGAACCACATCAGAGAAACCATGAACAGAAAAGTTCAGTGAAAATCTGTTCTAATAAAAGGGTCCACATTATTCCCTCATTAACATATTTAAACGTCTGAGTTTGTCAAAAATCCAGAGAATTCATTCACTGTAATTTAAGACCAAGAAAATTCTCACATTTAAGAACCTGGAACCTTCAAACACGACTTTAATGAGGAAGTGATTATCAGAAGATTTTGACTAATTGATTCATGAACTTACACATTATTTTTGACTAAAAGAAGAAGAGAAGAGTAAACCTGATCTCAGTCTGACTTTAATCCAGTCAGTCCTCAACATGACGTGAACGTCTCCACATTGAGCTGCTGTTCTGATCCTGACGTCTGATTGGCTGAAAACAGTCCTGGATTCAAATTTTATTATCAGTCAATCTGAAGCTCAGACACAGAGTTTATAATAAAACACTCGTGATGTTCTTCATGGATCATCATGATGTTGAAGTGAACAGAAGGAGCTCCATGTTTCCTGGTGCAGTGACAGGAAACAGACAGCAGGTGGCAGCAGAGAGACGCTGGAGATGAAGGAGCCTCCAGTTTAATTATTCATTTAAATCATCTTCAGAAACAAACTGTCATTAAAGTCAAAGACTCATATTTCATGATTCTGCTCAAGACTTTGTTATTCTGAAACAGCTGGAACCTTTTAATCCTGAATCATGATCTGAGTCCAGATGAAAACTTGAAGATCTGGTCTGAGGTCAGACCTGAATGCTGAAGGACTCCTGCGGTCTGGATCTGATCCTTCACCAGCGTCTCTACGTCAGCTGGACTTCACGAGTTCAGAGGAGAACCTGTTGCTTTCTGCTGACAGGAGTTGGTCCAGGTTCAGATCCAGACACCTTCAGACCTTTAGACCTTCAGACCATTAGACCTTTAGACTTTCTGACCTTCAGACCTTCAGACCATCAGACCTCTAGACCTTCAGACCATCAGACCTCTAGACCTTCAGACCTTCAGACCTTTAGACTTTCTGACCTTCAGACCATCAGACCTCTAGACCTTCAGACCTTTAGATCTGTAGACCGTCAGTCCTTCAGACCTTCAGACCATCAGACCTTTAGACCTTTAGACCGTCAGACCTTCAGACCTTTAAACCGTCAGTCCTTCAACCTTTAGACCATCAGACCATCAGACCTTTAGACCTTTAGACCTTCAGACCATCAGACCTTTAGACCTGTAGACTGTCAGTCCTTCAGACCTTCAGACCATCAGACCTTTAGACCTTTAGGCCATCAGACCTTCAGACCTTCAGACCTTTAGACCTTTAGACCTTAAGACCTTCAGACCTTTAGACCTTTAGACCTGTAGACTGTCAGTCCTTCAGACCTTCAGACCATCAGACCTTTAGACCTGTAGACCGTCAGTCCTTCAGACCATCAGACCTTTAGACCTCTAGACCTTCAGACCTTCAGACCTTTAGACCTTTAGACCGTCAGCCCATCAGACCTTCAGACCTTTAGACCTTCAGACCTTCAGACCATCAGACCTTCAGACCTTTAGACCTGTAGACTGTCAGTCCTTCAGACCTTCAGACCATCAGACCTTTAGAGCTGTAGTCCGTCAGTCCTTCAGACCATCAGACCTTTAGACCTCTAGACCGTCAGCCCATCAGACCTTTAGACTGTCAGTCCTTCAGACCATCAGACCTTTAGACCTTTAGACCGTCAGTCCTTCAGACCTTCAAACCTTCAGACTCTGGTTTTTCTGACTCAGTGCTGATGGTCCAGCTCAAGGACTTAAGACCAGAGAGGCCGTCGTCCGTCCCTCAGTCTCCACCATCTGTACCATGAACCTGCTGCAGAGACGCTCAGACAGACGGGTCCAGACCCCCCACCCCTCACTGTGGTGTATGACCCCCCCGGCTCGTATTTAGTCAACTATCCAGCACCACTTGTGTATTTCTGTGCAGTGTACAGCAGCAGTGGAGAGTCAGTGTAACAGTCATGGCCGCTTCCCGCTCGTCGTCTGTAAATAAACGTTGACATTGAGAAGCCATATTGTAGTCGGGCCGGAGGCCGCGCTCGCTCGCGCTGCGTTTAGGAAACTTTGATTTAGATATTTTAGTGTCTGTCAGTTTATTTATTCTGTTCATCATCGTTTCCTAACGGATGAGTTTCTGTGAACATGTTTTTTCCGGCTTCGCTGCGGCCTGAATGTTTTGCCGCCAGTGTGCCGATGATAGCTGTACATACTGTCCACTTCCTGTGAGGTCATAGTGAAACAGTTTCGGAGGCTTAGAGGCAAAAATAAAAAGTTTGAAAACAAAACTGGGTCTGAAACTCTTTTTATTCACAAAACTTGCTTTGGTTAAATGTTGGAATTTGTCTGTTTTTAAATTTGTTTTTATAATTTTATAATATTTTTTATTTAATTTAGTTTTATAATTATTTTAATGAATAATTGATTTTATAAGATGATATTTTAAGGTGTGAATTTCAACTTGAGTCAATTCGACATAAAAACAAATTTATCCTTTTAAAGTAAAAACTTTTAAAAAACTAAATTATTTTTGAAAAATCTCAAATTACATCTTTAAGAAATATTTTTTCATAGTTTTGACTGATAATTGAATTGAAGACTAAATTTGATTTTAGTCATAATTGTAACTGAACAAGTTATAGTCTTGACTTACATCTACATTTTTAATTAAAATTTTAATTATCAGACATTAAGTCCATGTACACTGAATTCATCACATATTTTATTTTTTATGTTTATGACTAATTTTAATCTAACTGACTCATAAATCACATTATTTTGATTGGTCATGAGAAAAAACATTTAAAGTAAAAATGTTATTTTTTACTTAATAATTCAGTTTTATACATATTGCATTTTGTAACTTTTTGAATCAAATTTATAATTTGTCACAATAGAAATGGACAAGTTATAATTTTACCTACAATGAATATTTTTTATTTTTGTCATAACATTTAACAGTATTTTATTGACATGAATGAGTTTCCATAAAATGTCTCATTTCACTGAATGAAAAGCTGAAAGACACTTCAGACACTGACGAACAGACGAGCAGGGGATGACAGGTGATGACATCATAGATCAGGCTGTAACGAGTGAGACGTGCTGTGTTCCAGAGAGGACAGAAAATAGGAAATTCCAGTTTTCATAGAGGTGAAAAAGCAGATTAGCGATTCACGTTAACAGGGTAACACACACACACTCTGTAAACACAACATAGATTTACTGATGTTCATCCTCTAAACATTCAACAGAAAAAACCTCTGCAGCGCGTTTATGTTGAAAGTTTGTGCTGGAGGAAAATTCAAGGACTTTCAAGGTGAAACTTAAGGACTCCAGACCATCTGTCAGACCTCACACAACCCACAGAAATAAACCAAAATAATTACAAGAAAAACAAAATATAAATTAATGACAAATGTAAAGAAGCTGAAAATAGAAAACGGACAAATTTTATGAAATAAGAAAAAAACACTTTTATGTCTATGATACACTCTTATTGTGAAATAAATCATTTTAATCTGCTGTTTGTATTTTTGTTTAAAACAAAACTTTTTAAAACGTTATATAGGCCTTTTTTAATTTTTATTTTCAGTAATGTTTGAAAACCTGTGACATGTTTGAGAATACCCGAAACTTTCTCCTCGTCTCTGTGTGAATCGCAGCGTCGTCTCCTGCAGGCGACAAATGTCAGAGTCGCTCTGCTCTGAACGAACCGTCTCAGTCTCTGAGTCTCAGTAAAGTCCGGTTCTGCAGAATCCTGGTTCCTGGATGAAAAGATGATGTTGATGAAGCTGTTGGATGATGTCACTTCTTCCTC